GCAGCGTACGAATAGTTTTTTGGCTTGAGCTCTGGTAGCAGACCGAGTTCGGGCATCTAGAGACGCGCTCCTGATGAGTGCCTTTCCATTGTTGTACTGAACAGCTCTATAGCTAATCTGCATATCGAGTTCCATCGAGAAAGTCATCACCATCCTTTGAACTGCTGGCAGGGCACGAGTAGTTTTTCGGGCCCAGCTCGGGTCGCGGACCGAGTTCGGGCATCTAGATACTTGAGACTAGCGCTTCTGATGATTCCCTTTCGATTGCTGTGCAGAACAGCTCCTTGCGCATCTCATCTGTAGCTCGAGTTGAGGCAGGGGGGCCGGCAGCACCTGCCAAGCTGTCACTTGCCAGCTGATCCCGCCAGAGTTTTTTTTTTTTGACTGAGATCGAATGTGTGTGTGGGGGGGGGGCAATATTAGAGCTCTGACGAATTTCCAATTTCGCTGGCGCTGGGGGCGTGGGGGTGCTCGGGGCAGAGGGCCGCGGAGCGGGGGTCCCACTGTGGCGCTGGGGGCGGGGGGGGGGGGGCGAGGGGGGGGGGGGGCGCGGAATGCAGCGTTCGTGGCGGAGGGGGCAATGCGCGGGGTTCCCACTGGGGCGCTGGGGGCGCGGGGGGGCTCGGGGCAGAGGGCCGCGGGGCGGCGGGGGCTCCGCCGTGGCGCTGGGGGCGCGGGGGGAGGGGCGGCGGGAGGTGCGTGTTCGACGCGGGATAAAGCGTTCGTGGCGGATGGGGCAATGGTCGGGGCCCCCGCTGGGGCGATAGGGGCGCAGGGGGGCTCCGGGCAGAGGGCCGCGGCGTTGGCGCCCCACTTCCGCGCTGGAGGCGTGGGTGGTGGCGGTGTGTGTGTGTGTGTGTGTGTGTGTGTGTGTGTGTGTGTGTGTGTGTGTGTGTGTGTGTGTGTGTGTGTGTGTGTGTGTGTGTGTGTGTGTGTGTGTGTGGTGGGGGGCGGGGGGAAGTGGGTGTGCGACGCGAAATGAAGTGGTCGGAGCTCTGGACACCCTGTGCAAGAGATTATAAAGCGCTCTTCTTGTCTGAGCTTTCCCACCTCGTGACGCTCTTCGTTTTTGGATAGGGGGGCGAGCAGTGACGTAAACAAAGGCTCGGAGGTCCCCGCCGATTTCTCGAATCGGCGCTCACATGAGCGCGATCGCAGTGCATGTCGCGGAGTCCGCAATCACATGCGCGATCACAGTGCATCACGGTCTTCGTGATCATGAGCGCGATCACAGTGCGTGTCACGGAGTGTGCGTAATCATAGGTCGAATCGCGCTTGCATCTCACAGTCTTCGTGGTCATGAGCGTGGTCACGGTGCGTTCGCGGAGTCCGCAATCATAGGTCGGGTCGTGCTCGTGAATGTCACGGTCTTCTGATTCATGAATGTGGTTACAGTGCATTTCACGGAGGATGAGCACGACGGGCGTTGTTGGTGGACGTCCGCCCTTGCCCTCTCCCCCCCCGGTGAGGACCGTCATAGGCCTTGCCAGTGAGGACCGCCATGAGGCCTCGCACCCCTCGCAGTTTCCATCGTTGGAACTGCGGGGGTCGAACCAAGTCCCCGCGAACCTGGCGCCGTGCGCGCAGTGCCAGGGGCCCGTCTTCCCATCTTACTATCATGGGGCGGGGTTGGCACGAGCGGGCATCATAGCCGGCTCATGATCAAAAGAGACATCCTAGCCTCAGCAATCTAGATTGATCCACTCACGGATCCACTGCAATTAATTTCCAGTGACTTCATTCCAGGCGTAGCATGCTCTCCCCTAATGGGCCGTGAACGGGACCCAGTCCCCTGCCGGTAGTCTAGTGCCGCCATCATAGGCAACCAGGGGGGCCACCATGGGCACCTCGCCCCCAATTCGGGGCCGTCAGCAGGGCTCGTTTTGGGAGGAAGGGCCATCATAGGCCTTCGCGCTCAATTTGCTCATCGAACTCAACTTTCTCGTCGTCGTCGTCGTGGTCCTCCTCCTCCTCCTCCTCCTCCTCCTCCTCCTCCTGGTCTCCACCCCATCGGGGCCGCGATGCAGGCAGTGCGGGCAGCACCTCGGCCTCAATCCGGTCGTGCTCGTGAATGTCACGGTTTCCGTGATCATGGGTGTAATCGCGGTGCGTTTCAGGGAGTCCGCAATCGTCGGTCGGGTCGTGCTCGTGAATGTCACGGTCTTCTTGTTCATGAGTGTGGTCGCAGGGCATGTCGCGGAGTCCGCGATCATAGGTCGGGTCGTGCTCGTGTGTTTCACGGTCTTCGTGATCATGAGCGCGATCACAGTGCGTGTCGCGGAGTCCGCAATCATAGGTCGAGTCGTACTTGAATTTCATTGTTTTCGTGGTCGTGGGCGTGGTCGCGGTGCGTTTCACGGAGCCTGTAATCATGGGTCGGGTCGTGTTCGTGAATGTCACGGTCTTCTGATAAGTGAATGTGGTCACAGTGCATTTCACGGAGGATGAGCACGACGGACGTTGTTGGTGGACGTCCGCCCTTGCCCTCTCCCCCCCCGGTGAGGACCATGGGCCTTGCCAGTGAGGGCCACCATGAGGCCTCGCACCCCTCGCAGTTTCCATCATTGGAACTGCGGGGGTCGAACCAAATCCCCGCAGACCTGGCGCCGCACGTGCAGTGCCAGGGGCGGCGGCCCGTCTTCCCATCTTACCATCCTAGGGGGATGCGAAGTCCCTGAAGACTGGACGGGGTGGGCAAGAGCGGGCATCACAGCCCGCTCAAAATCAAAAGAGGCGTCCTAGCTTCGCCAATGTAGATTGATCCACTCACGGATCCATTGCAATTGATTTCCATTGACTTCATTCCACGCGTAGCATGCCCCCCCCCCCCCCTGGCGCGCGCAGCGCGCCAGGGGCTGCGCGGGAGGCGCCGCCAAGGGGGGCCCAGGGCCGATCCGAGAAATCCGCGCGGAACGACAATTTTTTTCTGCTTATGCCGTCCTCGTTCCCCTATCGGCACTTCCGCCAGGTCCCAGTCTCTCGGCGAAGGGGTTCGCGTGCTCGACCCGCGCCCCCGTGGCCCAACGCGCCGGCCGTGCCGCGGGCGCCCGCCCGCGGAGGCGCCCCGTGGCATCTCCGCTCTGCCGCTGCCCCCGTGCAGCCCTGCGAGCTCGCCGCCCCAGGGGGGCGTGAGGCGCCCAGTATCGTGGGCGGCGAAGAGGGTGGTGGTGACCAGGGGGTTGGGCATCATGTCGTGGGCCATGATATTTCCCAAGACTTCATGGCGCCTCTTCTTATTTCATTGCGTCCCTGGCCCCCCCGATGGGCCGCGCGCGTGCCGCCGACCATGACTTGCACCCCCCTCCTTTTGGACGCCCCCCCTCTTGGCCGCCCCCGACGTCAGGGTGACGTCAGGGGAGGGGGGATGGGCTCTGGTCCGTTCAGGTGACAGCCATCCAGGCCGCGAGCCCCGCGGCCTGGATGGCGGTCACCGAGCGCGCGGGGGGAGCTCGCCGCGAGGGCGCCGCGCACGCGGTGCCTGCAGCAGCACGCCGCCGTGCTCGGCGGCGAGGCAGGCGGGCCCGCGGCCGGGGGGAAGCGGGGTCCTGGGCGTGGACTATCGACGGGTGCCGTTTCCATGGGAAATTGCGGGTTTCCGCCGCCGAGCGAGGCGGCACCGGCCGCGGTTTGGGGAGGGCACCTCCCCCGATCCACGGATTTGGCGACCGCGCGCCAAATCCATGGATCGCGAATCCATGTTTGCGCGCCCCCGAGCGGATGGGCTCAGCTGGGAACGCATCGAGCCCCCATCGCCCATGCATCACCGACGAGGGCCCGATAGCCCACGCCACCCAGGCGTGTGTGGCTTTGCTATATCTGGGACCTGACTCTATCGGCGATGTATCGTCGATTTTACTACCTCGGCAAAATTAATTCTCTTGCACAGCTGTGCTCTAGAGCTCGGACATCTTTATTTTCGTCGTTCGTCGTGTCGTTCGTCCCCCTCGCCCCCCCCCTGTCCACGCTTCCCAGGGTAGCCCCCCTGGGCCACGGAACCCTTTATTTTCGTCGTTCGTCGTGTCGTTCGTCCCCCTCGCCCCCCCCCGTCCCCCTCGCCCCCCCCCCTGTCCACGCTTCCCAGGGTACCCCTCGCCCCCCCCCCCTGTCCACGCTTCCCAGGGTAGCCCCCCTGGGCCACGGAACCCTTTATTTTCGTCGTTCGTCGTGTCGTTCGTCCTCCGCCCCCCCCCCTGTCCACGCTTCTTTACGGAACCCTTTTCGTCGTTCGTCGTGTCGTTCGTCCCCCTCGCCCCCCCCCCCCCTGTCCACGCTTCCCAGGGTAGCCCCCCTGGGCCACGGAACCCTTTATTTTCGTCGTTCGTCGTGTCGTTCGTCCCCCCACCCCCCCCTGTCCACGCTTCCCAGGGTAGCCCCCCTGGGCCACTTTTATTTTCGTGTCGTGTCGTGTCGTGTCGTTCGTCCCCCTGCCCCCCCCCCTCTGCCCCCCCCCGCCCAGGCTTCCCAGGGCAGCCCCCCTGAGCCTCGGACACCTTTGTGCAAGAGCCAGGGCACGCGTGCCACTTGTTTCAAAAATGGCGAACACGCCCCTGTGACGTCGGCGCGCCCTTCAGTGTCGATGCGACGCCCCTCCAATGTCGGGGCCAAGGCAAAAGGTGTCTGACCGGGAACGACTCGGAAGTTTGATGATGACCGACATTGGAGGGGCGGAGCATACAAGTCCCTCGCAGTCATCGCTGCACTGTTCAACATTTCCCCGCAAACAGTTCAGCGCACGTAAGACATTGTTGAGGTTAAGTTTGGACGAGGGTTGTGGGTTGATGCTTCCCCCCCACCAGTCGGGCCAGACGAAAGGGGGGGATTGGGAAAGTGGGGGTTGCGAAATCTGCTGCATGCAGCTGGTTTCGGCCCCACCGAGGGGCCCATTCCTCGATACATAGCCGCCTCTGGCGCCGGGAGGCGCCGGGAAAATTAACTACGTGAGCTGATTCTCAAACACCCCCTTTTGCTTAGTTATCTCCCCCTCTGGCCCGGCCCGATCCAGCCGGTCCCCCCTATCGTTGCCCCTCAGCACATGGCCCATGGAAACGCCTGACCCGCACGCGGGCGCTGCGGCGAACGGGCAGGACGCAGAGGCGAGCGACCAGGCACGAGGGATATGGGGGCCCTGGAGCTTGGTTCGCCGGTCACGGGCTCCCATGGCTCCACTCGTTTCGTATTTTTTTTCAGTGTCCTCGCTTGTAGTTGGCCTTCTCACCGTTGCCTGGCCCCTGCAGCAGTCAAAGGACGGTTCAGGACGCAAGCCCACGAGTTTTTTTCGCAGCTTTCGGGCTCCTGGGCTCGCCTTGTTTTGTGTAGTTATTCGACATTTTCGATCGTAGGTTCTCTTTGGCAAGCTCACGAGTTGTTTAACCGCTTTCGGGCTCCTGGGCTCAATTTGTTTTGATGCTCTTCGACATCTTCTATCGTAGTTTCCCTTGCATGTCCACGAGTTTTTTCGCCGCTCTCGGGCTCCTGGGCTTAATTTGTTTTGTAGTTTATCGAAGTTTTCGCTTTCAGTATTTCTTCTCGCCGTTTTCTGGCCCCGGCAGGAGTCTAAACAACGTTTCCAGAGGGAAGCCTTGCCCTGGGTGGGAGCCATATTAGTTCCAGGACGCGCTTCCACCAGGACCCCTCTGGCCCCGCGCCAGATCCTGTGCTCTCTGGTCGATGCGATTCGATGCCGCGCTCCATCCGCCCGATCCGATCCGACTCTGATCCTGAAGCGCGATCCAGTCCGATTCGATCTCGGATCCAACTCGGTCCCGACAGGCTCCGCGCTTGGCGGCGGGCGCCGGGGCCTCTCTGGGCGGCGCTGGCGCCCCCGCAGGCGCCGGCGCCGGCGACTGCGGCGACGACGACGACGCCAGGACCGTCAGCAGCAGCTCCTCGGAGTCGGTCCGGCTGGAGGCCGCGTGGGCCCGACGGCAGGGCGACGGCGGGAGCGGCGGCGGGAGCGGCGCCGAGGAGGCGGCCGAGCTCCGCCGCGCCCCCGCCGACGCGCCCGCGGGGGCCGCTGGCGCCTCGGCCGGTGTGGGCGGCGCGGCCGCTGCGGGCGTCTCTGTCGGCACGGGCGGCTCTGCCAGCTCGGCCAGCCTCGGCGGCCCCACCGGCGCCCTGCGCCTTGTCGCTCGGGCGGCGGTGCCCGCGGCGCCCGCCGCGCCTGCGCGGGCGGGCCGCGGCGGCGCCGAGGGCGAGTCCGCCGGCGCACCGCTGCTCAGCTTCTACCTGGGCCCTAACACGGAGAGCGACCTCGGTGCCTCCTTCCGCCAGAGCGACCGAGGTCGCAGGCCACATGCGAACCCTACCCCACCACCACGGTATGTAAGGGGGGAGGTGGGGAGGAGGAGGAGGAGGAGGAGGAGGAGGAGGAGGAGGAGGAGGAGGAGGAGGAGGAGGAGGAGGAGGGGGAGGAGGAGGAGGAGGACGAAGAGGAGGACGAAGAGGGGGACGAAGAGGAGGAGGAGGAGGACGAGGAGGAGGAGGAGGAGGAGGTGAACCACACTTCTCCCCCTAGAAGTCGTGGGGTGGTGGGGTAGTGTTCGCATGTGGCCTCCCACGAGGGCCGTGGCCTGTGGCCGGGCTCGTGGAGGGCGGGTGGGCGCAACGGAACGGCGTGCACGTCCAGGACCAGCTCTGCCGTGTCAACAACAGGGACATGGAGGGCCTGTTGCAGCCGGAGGTGCTGGCGGCCCTTGCGGCAAGGCCCCTGATGCTGTCCTTCGCGCGCAGCCTCGAAGGTCGGCGGAGGGCCAGTCGAGACAGCGGTGGCTCTTCCCGCTCAACCCAAACGATCCCCGCCCAGGTCCATGCCGACCCTCAACCCCGTTTTCCCCTTCGGCTTCCTGGGAGGCCCTCGCCGCCTCCGCTGGACTGGCTCCGAGATCCTGGTCATCGCGCGCCCTGGGACGGCTGGACCTAAACGGTGTTTTGGCGATTTCGTGGGCCGTTTTCGTTTCGTCTTCGTTTTGCGGTAAAGGCGGACTGAAGACAAAACGAGGGAAAACGAAAATAATACGAAAACTAAAAACACGTTTCGGTTCAGCCCTGCCCTGGGAGCGGTCGGGGCAGTAGCGGTATCGGTGCTTGTTGGTTTCCCCAGACCCGCTTTCCGGGGCGAAGCCAGCCGTGACGGCGAGCAGCCTCGAAGAGGTGCACGCAGTCGGGCGTGTCCCTCTACACGAGGCAGCCGGCATGTTCCAAAATAGTCAACAAATAGTCAGGGGAGGATTTTTGTTTTTGTTGTTTCTTGTTTTTTTTGGGGGGGGATCTTTTTGACCCGCTTGTAGGGGGACATGCCCGACCTGAAAAACACAGGGCGAACAACGCCAGGGAGGGCCGCCGCTGTCTCGACGGGCCCTCCAAAGGAGGGAGGCAGCTGACAGCCGGCGCGCTCCGGGTGCACGCGGCGGCGCAGCAGCGCCACGAGAGGCAGCGCGTGCCGGGCGAGGCCCTCGGGGGCAACGTCAGGGGGGGGGAAGCGTCGACCCCCAATCTCAGGCGAGCGCAAACATGGATCAAGGGGGCGTGGATTAGCGACGGGTCCCGCTTCCATGGGAAATCGCGGATTTCCGCCGCCGAGCGAGGTGGCACGGGCCGCGCCTTGTGGAGGGCACCTCCCCCGATCCACGTTACACCCATCGCCAATCGGGGCCCAGCGGCCCTCACCCCACCCAGGAGCGTGCGGTTTTGCCTCCGAGGGCCCGTCGCCGATACGTCGGCGATGTGTTGCCGATCCCAGGGCAATGGTCCCCCCCCGCCCGATCCAGTCCCCGGCGCCTGCCTTCCCTCCCGCCCTCGCTCTTTCAAATTGCGCGCTGCCCCGCGTGCCCGCTTGGGCTGCAACGACGGTTCCCCGAGGCACTGCAGCCTTGCGTTTTCCTGCATGCCAGCACGCAGGGGATCTGCATTTTCAACATGCCCGCCGATACGCCGTCAGGGCGCGGCTTCTTCTTCTTCTTCTTCTTCTTCTTCTTCTTCTTCTTCTTATTCTTTTTCATTTGCTTCTTCTTCATATTCTTCATATTCTTCTTCATCATCTTCTTCTTCAATCCGCACTTCCTGCCATATGTGTTCTGCAGCAGTCGTTGGCATCGCTCTCACGCATTCCCGAAGTCTGCCGAGCCAGACAGCCAGGCGTCGGTGCACTTGGCGTCGCGGGGGACTCCCCACACGTGGCGCTACCGCCCCCGACCTCCGAGGCCTTGATCTTCGATGCGGGGCCCTTGAAGCTCTGGACCAGTTCCTGGTGACCGTTTTTTTGTCCCACATTTTGTTTCGAGGATTCCGGGACCCGGTGAGGGCTCCCAGACGCCCAAAACGCTGGAAAACATCGGTCCCGATTTTTCAAAACATGTTGGAGATCCGGGACCACCTCCACCCTGAGCCCTATACTTTTGGTTTTCGGGTCATCATTCGGGTCTCCAGCGGCTGTTCGGACCCACGGACTCCTCCTGGGCTGTTAAAAACCATCCTGAGGCTGGAACGAGGCCGGGAACCGACGAGAGCGCCCGACAAGCTCAAACCTCCGACTTCCCTCCTGAGCCTATCCCTCTCCTGAGCCAGTCGGTGGAAGAGCGGGGTTGTGGAGGAGGAGGCGGAGGAGGAGGAGGAGGAGGAGGAGGAGGAGGAGGAGGATGAGGAGGAGGGATGAGGAGGAGGAGGAGGAGGAGGGAGGAGGAGGAGGAGGAGGAGGAGGAGGTGAGGAGAGGAGGAGGAGGAGGAGGAGAAGGAGGAGGAGGAGGAGGAGGAGGAAGGAGGAGGAGGGGAGGAGGAGGAGGAGGAGAGGAGGGCGGGGGACCCCCCTGGCCGTTCCCCCAGAGGTCTCCACCCGTTCCCTGGGACTGCTGCTTCCTCCCGCGCCATTTTTTGACGCTCCCTGTGGGCCCAGCGGGGGCCCTTGGAGGCTGAACATGGTGGCAAAAAGACGCCCGTCGTGAGCTTTCACAAGACGCGGGGGGTTCTGGGATCGGGCCGAACGAAAGGGGGGCCATAGGGAAAGGGGGGGTACGAAATCTGCCGCATGCAGCTGGTTTCGGCCCCGCGCCGGGCCCATTCCTCGACACATGGGCGCCTCACGGCGCCGGGAGGCATCGGGAGAATCAGCTGCGTGAGCTGGTTCTCTACTCATACCCTTTGCTATCCCCCACTTTCGTCCCCGCGATGGGACCACCAACACCCTGCGCTAGTCGCCCCTGGTCTTCAATCGGGCCTGTACCTCTACAGGAGGAGGATTCCAAAATAGTGAAAAATAGTAAGTTTTTTGTTTTTTGTTTTCAATTACATTCTTTCCGTCCAGAATCCGCCGGTAGGGGGACATGCCCTTCTGAGAAATCTTCCAAGCCTTCCCCGAAGATACGGAAAACCTTTCAGAAGGCGCGATGGTTTCTGAGAAGTTCCGCCGCCTGCTGAGAAGGCCTCCTCCTTCTCACCTCTTCCCGTCGCTCGCCGCCGATCCCTGTTGGTTGGCATCACCTGCGGAGCGCAGGAATCATGCCAGTCGACAGATCGACACATCGCGGCGCAGCCCGCCGACATCGAATTGGGGGCGCCGGGGGTCTTCACACCACTCGATGTACAAGGTGCTGGATGCTGTCCATCAATCGGACGCCTCTTGGCGAGGCGTCTCGGGGCTGGACAGAACCCCCACCCTGACACGTCGATTGGTGAATTGTCTGTTGTCGATTCTCCAGAGGGCGCCGCGGCCGTCATTTTTCAGGCTTGCGCCCGCCAGATTTGGGCCCGAGGCCGTTTTCACTAGACCACGTTTTACTAAAGGAGGTTGTGTCCATCCCCGAGCGCTCCACTGCCGGAACGTGCACCCCGAGGTCGGGAAACCTGGAGGCGTTCCGACGGGGACGTGCAGTGGGTGCCCCGACCCTCCCCGAGCCTCGACCCTCCTCGGCGCCTCGATCGTCCGCCCTCCTCGGTCGGACCCCGAGCCTTCGACCCTCTTCGATCGGACCTCGAACCTCTCAGGAGGGAATGAAAACACAGACACGAATAACCTTCGATCCCCAGGAAAGTGTGTGTGTGTGTGTGCTCATCGTCGAACTCTTCGACGTCTGAGCGTCCCTTCTTCCTCTCGGCCGTCCTCCCTCCCTCTCTTTGCCCGCCGGCAAATTCGCTAGTTTGTGTCCCTTTCTAGCTTCTCGCTGGAGCGGGTTTCGCCGCCTCGCCGCCGACGAAAAGTGTGTGTGTGTGTGTGTGTGTGTGTGTGTGTGTGTGTGTGTGTGTGTGTGTGTGTGTGTGTGTGTGTGTGTGTGAGTATCTGTCTGTGTGTGTGTGTGCGTGTGTCTGTGTGAGAAGAAAAAGGGAAGTGAAGGGGAAGACGAAAACCATCCACGAAATATGCAAAACATGGGGGATCCTGGGATTTGTGTCTAACTATTCCTGTGTCCCTGGGCCCCCTTGCCCAGACCCCTGACGTCGTGATTTTTTCACCCCCAGATGTCTGGACCCCTTGCCCGAGACCGGCTTTTCGTCCCGAGCTGTTATTGGACGGCCCCGAGGCCCCGTGAGGGCCCCCGGAGGCCGAAAACCGCCAGGATCCAGGTTTTCATCCAGACTAGTTTTTTGACGGCCCCGATGCCCAGCCAGGCCCAAGGAGGCCTAAACGAGCGCAAAGCCCTTCCTCGTGTGATCTCTTCACGGCGCGAGTGGGTCTGGGACTCGAGATGACTCGAGTCCTGCTCGTTGATGCGTCTGGGGTTTACATTGGTCCTCCACTTTTTTCACGACGCGAGGGGGGTCTGTCTGGGCATCGATTCTCGAGCGCAGCCGCGTCGGGCAGCACCGCGCCCTCGCGGCCCAGCCCCGCCCAGCCCAGCCGCCCCCGGCGCGGGCTGGGCAGGTCTGGGTTCGGCGGCGAGCGAGGGGTGTAAATGCCGCAGGGCTTCTCAGAAGCCCTCCCGCCTTCTGAGAAGCTTTTGGTTCCTTCGGGGAGCTCCCGAGCCTTCTGAGAAGGCTCGCCTCTTCTCACTCCCCCATTGGGCGCGCCGCCTACGGCGGGCATGTCCCTCTACAGGAGGATTATTCAAACGTTGTCAAAACGTTGGCAGGGGACGTTTTTGTTTCGACAATTCCTGAATAGTTGTTGATACTTTTTTCATGTGTCGTCCCCAATCCGCCTGCAGGGGGACCTGCCCGACCTAAGCCTGTGGGTATCGATCCTCGAGCGCAGCCGTCAGGCCCGCGGTGCGGAGCGCGGCGTGGAGCGCCCTGCGGGCGGCGGCGGCGCGGTGGGCAGCGGGGCCGCGGCGGCGGGGCGTCTGCCCGCCCTGCGCCGGGGGCGGCTGGGCTGGGCGGGGCTGGGCCTCGAGGACGCGGCGCTGCCCGACGCCGAGGCGCGGAGAGGGATGGGGAGGAGGAGGGGGAGGAGGAGGAGGAGGAGGAAAAGGGGGAGGGAGGAGGGGGAGGAGGGGAGGAGGGGGAGGAGGAGGAGGAGGAGGAGTAGGAGGAGGAAGATGAGGACCAGTGTAACCCCCACACGCATCAACGATGTTGGAATAAACCCTCCCCTCCAAGCTTCCTCTTCATAGGCCTCTACAGCGGTTCGATTCCACTGAGGGAACTGCATCGTTGGAAGACAACAGTTTGAAGACCCCGAAGCGTGCCAGAACATTGTTCTCGGGATTCCAACGCCACGGATCAACCTGACTGTTGCGTCTTGTCGACCATGAATCGTGCCAGGACGCCATTCTTGGGACTTCGACACCGCGAATCAACGTAGCTCTTGCAAATTCTGAATCCTGAATCCTTGCAAAGCACCGCTTCTGGTACGCTGATCATGGGAGTGCGTGGAACTCCTGCAAGTTCAAGAAAATGTGCGTGTCGCTAAGGCGAGAGCCGCATTTTGAAAACGGCCCGCCCATGCAACTTTTTAGAACGAATGTGCGCGGCGCTAAGGCGAGAGCCACATTTTGAAAACGGGTGATACTGAATCCGTGAAGCTCTTGCAAATGTTTGAGACGAATGTATGCTGCGCTAAGGCGAGATAAGGCGAGAGCCACATTGTGAAAACCACCCGCCCGCCGTATGTGAAACACTTTTGCACAGTTTTAGAACGAATGTACGCCGCGCTAACGCGAGAGCCACATTTTGAAAACCACCCGTCCGCCATATGCAAAACGGCGAAACGCCAGGGCGACACGCCCCGTCTGCCCTACAAACTGGAAACTGGCCTCCGGGTGCGACAGGGAGGAGTTATCTGTAAGGAAAAGGAGTGGAGGAGGAGGAGGAGAAGGAGGAGGAGGAGGAGGAGGAGGAGAAGGAGGAGCCGGAGGAGGAGTTGGAGGCCCGGCCACGGAATGAGGAGGATGATGGGAGGGGGAGGGGGAGGAGGCGGCGGAGGAGGCGGAGGAGTAGGAGGAGGAGGCAGAGGAGGAGGAAGAGGAGGATGAGGAGGAGGCGGAGGAGGAGGAGGATGCGAGGAAGGGGAGGAGGAGGAGGGATGATGATGATGACGATGAGGAGGAGGAGGAGGGGAGGAGGGAGGAGGAGGAGGAGGAGGAGGAGGAGGAAGAGGATGATGATGAGGAGGAGGAGGCGGTCGGGCCCTGGTCCCCCTCGCGTCGTGAAGAAACCACGACGGAGGATTTTTCGCTGTTCTAGGCCTCTCTGGGGGCCCTTGCTGGGCCTCTGGGCCATCAACAACACGGCTGGGGATGAAAAGCCGGTCCCGGGCAGGAGGAGGAGGAGGAGGAGGAGGAGGAGGAGGAGGAGGAGGAGGAGGAGGAGGAGGAGGAGGAGGGTGAGGAGAGGGGGAGGAGGGAGGGGGAGAAGGAGGAGGAGGATGAGAATGAGGAGGAGGAGGAGGAGGAGGAGGAGGCGCTGACGTTTTGCTTTTTTCGGCCTCCTGGGGCCCTTGCTGGGCCTCGGGGCCGTCAAAAAACGAGTCGGGACGAAAACCTGGATCCCGACGGTTTTTTTTCCACTGTTTTCGGCCTCCGGGGGCCCTTACCGGGCCTCGGGGCCATCCAAAAACGGCTCGGGACGAAAAGCGGGTCTCGGGCAAGGGATTCAGACCTCTGGGGGTTGACGTTGCGAAAAAATCACTACGTCGGGGGTCTGAGGAGTTTTGATTCCTAGGGAGTGCGGGGCTCGAGCTGAGCGGTGGTTCGGCGATCTCGTGGACCGTTTTCTTTTTGTTGCCGTTTCGCAGCAGAGCCAGAGCGAAGGTATAACGAGAGAAAACGAAGACTAAACGAAGCCGAACAGCACTGTTTAGCTCGAGCCCTGGAGGAAAGCATCGAGAGTAAAAGATCGGCGGCGAGCGAGGGGGGGGAGGTCCAGGGAGCATGCTTCGCCATGGGGGAAACGGGTCCTGAGGGGAACTGGTCCTGAGTGTTTTCGCCGTTTTCGGGCCCTCGGGGCTCTCCCGGGCCCGGGAACCGTCAGAAAACAAGTCAGGATGAAGACCTCGTCCTGGGGGAAGGCCCCAGGGTCCAGGACCTGTTTTCCTCGGGATTTGTTCCCCCCATGCCGAATACTGGCGGTCCAGGAGGCATTCTGGCACCCTGGCATCCTGGCATCTCGGTGTCTAGGCATCCCTGGCCCTCCTGGCATCCTGGCGTCCTGGCACCCTGGCGTGGTGGCATCCTGGCAGCATCTGCACCGTTGGCCGTCGACTGTCGCGCACATGTGCACCAATGAGATTCTCGTGTGTCGGCGACACGGCCGGGGGGGGGGGAAGTGGGAAGGAGGAGGCCTTCTTGGAAGGCGTCGGGGCTTCTCAGGAGCCCTCCGGCCTTCCGGGAGGGTTTTTTTCATGTCTTCGGGAAGACTTAGCACACTTCTCAGGAGGCCTGGGGGCCTTCCGAGCCTTCCGAGAAGGCCCGCCCCTTCCCGCTTCTCCTCGGGTTCGCCGCCGAAAAGAACCCTTAGCTCAGGCGATCACAAACATGGATCAAGGGGGCGTAGATTAGCGACGGGTCCCGTTTCCATGGGAAATCGCGGATTTCCGCAGCCGAACTAGGCGGCACCTGCCGCATTTTGGGGAGGGCACCTCCCCAATCCATGGATTTGGCGACCGCGCGTCAAATCCATGGATCGCTGATCCATGTTTGCGCGACCCCGATTAACCCACACAACACAGTGAAGACAGCAGCCTAATTAGGTCCCCTTCTTTGTGCCTGGGTGGTCTGGTTTGCTACAGCTGCTGAGAAGACCCCCTATCCCTAAAGTTTCGGGCCTCTTAACTTACTTCCGCTCCCAAAGGGCTAGGGGTACTCCCATTGCCAATCAGGAAAGAACGTTGGAGCCGGCTGGGGGTCTGTGGTTGTCCAGCCCTGGGTCCAGCGGGCAGGAAAAGGGGGCGGGTTTCGAGTTTTTGTTGTTGTTTTTTTCCTTTTGTCCCAGGGGGCGGTTTCCAGGCCCGGGACGGTGAAGAACTGAGAGATGGAGCCGGGGTGAAAAATTGCACCAGATGGACCCCGGGAGGGGTCCGAGGCCCGACATTGAGCGGATTTGTCCTCGTCTTCCCCTCTTGATTGATTGTCCGTGGTCCCATCCGCTTCAAAT